CATTTGTTCCGACATGTTTGTTGTTGTGGTTGTTGTTGGGAATGTATGGCGTGTAGTACGACGACATACCCCTATCCACGAAATTGTGCGTGTGCTCATCATCATCGCCATAGCCATCGTCATACCGAGTTTGTGTGTGTGTGCCTTCACAACGTTGTTGGATTTATTTTTAGTCCGTGGGGGCCTCTCAAAAAAAAAAACAAACTGAACAAAAAACTCACGCATGTTGGAAACAAGTGAAGGGAGGCGGAAGCCATGAATGCACCACCACGCACAGCAGAGGTGGGCATTAATGTTTTTTTTTTTTTTTTTTTTGGCTTATTTTAGACACCAAGTGAAGGTAACTCCCAAGGGAGTTGCAAGGGGGTCCCTGCTGTTTACTTCATATTTACAAACCTACACCCCATGCATTTGCGGGGGAAAAATGTCAAAACATAGAATGTTGTAGTTTTAGGGGGGTCCCGACTCATGAGGACAAGTTGTTCTTAAAATGCAGAGAACAGAAATAATAGAAATTTTCAGAATATTCAGCGAAGGATCAATACTTTTTTGGAAAAACATCAACACCTCAAAACATAGATTTTTAAGAAAATTTTTGCGGAACCTTAATTTTTTTTCTAAAACGAGAATATATTAGGGATATTTTTTCTGGAGCCATATAATGCGGATTTTGAAAAATATTTTTTTTTTTTTTCAAAAAATTTGATGGAAACTTGGAATTTTTTAAAATTTTTTCAGAGGACCATTAGAGTTTCGAACTGGAATTTTGCCGGAATATTCCAGAGACTTCAAAAACTTGGATTTTTTTAGAAAAAGTAGATTTTTTGAATACTTTCCAAAGAACAATAAAGGCTAAAAATTTTAATTACTGCCGAATATTTTTGGAGACCCAAGACATGGATTTTTTAAAACTTTTTTTTTTAATGACCATTAGACACCCATAAATAATCCTCAATAGATGATCAGATTTTTGAGAAAAATTGTAAAGGACAATCAGAGCCATCGAATATTGATTTTTCAGGGCCATCAGTACCTAGAAACTTCCGGAGCCACAACAGAATCAAAACGTGGGTTTAAAGAACACTTTTTTTTTCCATGTGGCTACCAAAGCCTCCAAGTTTGGAGTTTTAAGGAACATTTTGTCCAAGGAACATCAGACAAACCAAACGTGGATTTTTAAAATTTTTTCTTCAAAGGATTTTTTAGAGTCTCAAAAATTATTTTAAGAATATATGTTTAAGGAGTCCCCAAATAAGGTTTTCGAAGAAGGACCATGATGGCACAACCTAAAAAAGTGAATTAAACAGGTTAAAAAGTATCAGCCGATTTTGCTGACAGATTTTCAGGGTGAGATAAAAAAACTGCAACCAAGTCAAACGCCATAATTTTAACATTTTTTTTAAATTTAATTGTCGGAAATAGCTTCAAATTTTAGAATAGGCATGAATTATGACCTTAAAATGGCCAAAGAAACCTTCACACGCTGCCCGAATGTTGCTCTGCGGTATTTTGGCCCATTCCCGGCGATGCGCTTGCTTGAGGTGATCGACACTTTGGTATTTTTTAGTGCCAACCTTGCTTTCCAAAATATTCCAGACCCAATAGTCCAACAATAATTGGTATCCGGAGATTTTGATGGTCATTGTGCGCTGGATATGAAGCGATGAACCTCATTTTGTAACCATTATTGGGTGGCGCGTGCTGAGTGCGATGGCACTGCTGAGTCCTGTTGGAATGTTCAAGGTCTGCGGCCAAAATGTCTGTATAGCTAAAATACAAGGCTTTAATAGATTCTCCAGAATATTTTCGCGATAATATTCGGCACTTATTCTGATGCCACGGTCGATTAAGACGAGCAGAGAGCGACCATTGGCAGTTATGGCGGCCCACACCATCACCATGGCCGGCGGTTGAGTTCTGGTGGCCTACCGAAGGTGCACATTTTCAGCTGACCTCTTTGACAAATAAACACGATCATTTTGTTTGTTTATAGACTGCTGGACAACGAATGTTTTCTCATCGGAGAAAACCAAATTCAGCAATTCGCCACTTTCGGCCAAGCAAAGCTACTCTTTTGAGTCTATTTTCTTTCTGTTGCTTTGCAAGTTCTTGCACTTTTAGGAATTTCAATGGATTTACCCCGAGCTTATTTTTCAATATTTGCCGAATGGAATATTGCGATATGTTCAGCTCACGAGCCATTTTTCGGCCACTGCGACACGGGTTTAGATCAAGTCGCTTCTTTACTTTTCGAACCATTTCTACTGGTGTTGCTGTTTTCTTCCGTCTACTTCCTTGACGTACTGGCTACGCTACCAGTATCACGGTAACGAGCGATGGTTCGAGACTAAAAGGGTTGGATTTAGCCATTTTACGTCTTCTAGGACCTCTAGTAGAATTTTATGGCGAATCATTTTGTGGAATGTTTTGATAGGCTATGGCCACGTTTTAGGCGAGTTTTTAACCATATTTTGAAAAAAGGACCAAAAAGACCCCTTTGTTGACTAGCTTCAGGGTTAAAATATCTAACCAAAATAATTGTTGGATTGTTAGCTACAATATTGTCGAAGACACTGTATACCTAAAACTCACGGATTTGGAGAAATCTTAATCTGAAAGAAATGTGGATGAGGGGGGAACTGACCTCCTCTATTTAGGTTACTTTTCTTGATATTTAAAGGATGTAGAGATTATTGTTGCTTAGTGACTTATAGTGAAATTTGATGTAGAATAATTTTGTACTTAACGTCATCCTTCTAAAATGCTGACTTGTTGGAGATTTTTGCACAAACTCACACAAAGTACGGTTTTACCCCTAAAATGTATTATTAATAAATATGAATTCCTGACGTTTAGGTAGGATTTAGAAATTTCATGTCTTCTGGGACCTATAGTAGAATTTTATGACAAATAATTTTGTGGAATATTTTGACAGGCTACGACCACGTTTTGGGGGAGATTTTATCCATATTTTGAGAAAAGGCCCAAAAAGATCCCTTTGTTGACTCCCTTAAGGGTTAAAATTTCAAACCAAAATAATTCTTGTATTGTTATCTGTAATATTGCTGAAGACACAGTATACCTAAATTCACGGCTTTCAAGAAATCTTAATCTGAAAATTTTCAAAAAATGTGAATGAGGGGACAACAAAAGGCCTCCTCTATTTAGGGTTCTTTTCTTGATATTTAAAGGATGTGGAGATTTTTGTTGTTTGGTGACATATAGTGAAATTTAGTGTAATTTTGTCTTTAACGTCATCCTTCTACAATGCTGCTTTGTTGGAGATTTTTGCACTAATCCATTCAAAGTACGGTTTTAAGCCTATTATGCCTGTTGTAACATACACGATTTCCTGGCGTTTAGGTAGGATTTAGCCATTTGATGTCTTCTAGGACCTATAGTAAAATTTTATGACAAATAATTTTGTAGAATATTTTGAAAGGCTACGATTACTTTTTAGAGGAGTTTTTAACCATATTTTGAGAAAAGGACCAAAAAGAAACCTTTGGTGATTCGCCCGAGGGTTAGAATTTCCAACCAAAATAATTTTCGCATTATTACCTGTAATATTGCCAAAGACACTGTATACCTAAAATTCACTGATTTCGAGAAATCTTAATCTGAAAATTTCCAAAAAATTTGGATGAGGGGGATGTGGCCTCTTCTATTTAGGTTACTTTTCTTGATATTTAAAGAATGTAGAGATTTTTTTGTTTACTGACTTATAGTGAAATTTAATGTAGAATAATTTTGTCTTTAACGTCATCCTTCTAAAATGATGCTTTGTTGGAGATTTTTACACAAACTCACACAAAGTATGGCTTTAACCCTTAAATATGACTTATGAATTCCTGACGTTTAGGTAGGATTTAGCCATTTCATGTCTTCTGGGACCTATAGTAGAATTTCCCGACAAATAATTTTGTAGAATATTTTTACAGGCTACGACCTCGTTTTTGGGGAGTTTTTTAACCTTATTTTGAAAAAAGGACCAAAAAGACACCTTTGTTGACTCGCTTGAGGGTTAAAATTTCTAACCAAAATAATTTCCGCATTGTTATCTGCAATATCGCCAAAGACATCATATATCTAAAATGCAAGGATTCCAAGGAATCTTGATTCGAAAAAATTGACCAAAAGGTCATAATTTTGGTTTTTCTGGGAACATTGATGCAAATATTTTTTGATATTCTTTGGAAATAGAAATTTCTTTTCTTTGGTGACTTATAGTGAAATTTGATGTAGAATAATTTTGTCCTTAACGTCATCCTTCTAAAATGCTGCCTTGTTGGAGATTTTTGCACAAACTCACACAAAGTACGGTTTTAACCCTATAATGCCTTTTTAACATACATGACTTTCTGGCGTTTAAATAAGACTTAGCCATTTCATGTCTTCTGGAACCTATAGTACAATTTTATGACAAATAATTTTGTAGAATATTTTGATAGGCTATGACCACGTTTTAGGGGAGTTTTTACCCATATTTCGAGAAAAGGACCAACAAGACCCATTTGTTGATTGGCTTGAGGGTTAAAATATCTAACCAAAATAAATTTCGCATTGTTATCTGCAATATTGCCGAAGACTCTGTATAGCTAAAATGCAAGGACTCTCAGGAATCTTGATTCGGACATTTCTAAAAAAAGTGTGGAAGAGGGGGAAACCTGCCGCCTCTATTTAGGTTACTTGGCGATGTTAACTTTCAAAACTCCGAAACATGTGTCTCCTTTTTTCAGCTCTACTTTCATAATCTGCTGGATTTTCCCGGAATTATTTTTGTGTAAAATATTTTCCCTTTGTTTCCCCCCTCAAAAGTTATCTCCCCTCCTTTTTGGCAAAGAAAAACACCATTTGCGTTTTTATTTTATTTGTTTGTTTTTAATTCATTTGTATCATTTATTATTAAATATACTTTACTTTGTTAAAAAATAATAACAAAAATACATAAATGTAACTTAACACGGTTTGTTGTTGTTGTTGGTTTTATTTTTTAATATTTTTATTTTTTTCTGTTTTCATTCAGTTTTGATGCTTCTGCTGTAGTTATTTTTTGTGGTTTTTGTTTTTTTTTCTTTGTTTATTTAATTATGGAAAAATAATTAAATGGAATTATGTAAAAATTCTAAAAATTACTTAAAAACTGTTAAAAAGTAAAATAATAATAATAATAATTATTAATCATAATTTATGTTCACTTTCAATAATTATTTAATTAATTAATTAATAATAATAGGTTATATATACAAACTATGTATATATAAATAAAATTTGTTTTTGTTAAATTTCATTAACCATTTCAACTTGACTTAGATATTGAACAAATGTAATAAAATAAAATTAAAAAAAAAACAAAAAAAAAAATTAAATAAAAACAAAAAATATATATTTTTTAAATTAAAATCGGAATTTTTAAACGGAAACAGAAAATGTTTATTTTTTAAGACAAAAATATATATTTGAATTCGGTAATGTATTGTTGTTGTTTTTTGTTAGCATTGGCCATTTATAATGCCCGTTTTTCATTCGGAGTGTTTTGATTGTGGAAGCTGGGAGGGTGAGTGAAGTAGGAAAATTTTAAAAGAAATTGAAAAAAGCAAAAAAAAATGTATTTCGAGATGAAATTATACCAAAAATTATGGGTACTCATATCCCTCGATTTAACTCCTCGAATTACAAACTGAAACTGTAATGAATTTTGAAATTGATATTCCAAGATTTTTTTATGCCTGAATATTTCCTGGATCTATGGAAGTTTATTTTTCTATTTCTTTTTTTTTTGTTTTTGAATTTCATCATTTCTTGACGTATGATCATTTTTTGTTTATTTTCTGTTCTTCTTCATCTTTCTTGTTTGTTTGTTGTTTTTTTTTTGTAATAGTTTAAATAACATTTCTAATTATTAGTAATTATCTGTTTGCAGTCTTTGGTTATTCATTTATTTGTTTATATATGTTTCTTTATATTTTTTAAATATATATATATATTTTTTATTTATATATATGTATATGCTGTTTGTGTGTGTGTGGTTTTCCTTTTTGTTTATATGTATATATACAGGTGAAATATATTTGAGTGTTTTGTTTTTGTTTTTTATTTGAATTTTTTCCTCAGTTTTCTTTTTTTCTCATTTATCAATTAATTATTATATTTACATATATGTATATATGTGTTTGTGTGTTTATATGTATAATTAATAATTAGTTTTCAGTTTTTTTTTTCGTATTTCATTCATTCATACATAAAATACCTATATATATTAGCTACATATATAGTATATGGGTTGATTTTGGGATTTGTTTTTATCTTTTTTTTTTTTGGTATATACTACATATCTTGTACATATATATAGTATATACATACATTATGTATAGTTGTTTTTTTTTTTTTTAATTTACTTTCTTTTTCTGTTAATAGGGATGTGAATTTTGTTTACTGCTGTCATATGTTTTACTTTTCTCAATATTGTATTTGGGATTGGCCTTATTGAAGGTTGTTGCTGTTGTTGCATTTGTAATCGGGGTTTCCGTAAATGGAGAGATTTCAATTGTAATAGTTTGTTTTTAAAGGAATATTCAATAAAAAATTAGATTATCAACTTTTGGGGATTTTTGGGGGATTTATTGTCCAAAAAATCCTGGAACATTTTTTCAATTATTTTTTTATTATTATTATTATTATTTTTTAAAGTTTGAAATTAGGAAAACAATGTTTTAGTGATTTTACGTTACTCTTAAAAAATCCATTATTTTTCCAATTTTGGGGATTTTTGGGGAATTTTTTGTCCAAAAAACGGAGAACATTTTTTCAAAACACTTTTTTTCAAAAACATAAAGAAATCATCATTTATTTATTAAAATTATCTAAATCTAAAAAATGCCATTATTTTTCCAATTTTGGGGAATTTTTTGTTCCCCTTAAAAAAAATTCATTATTTTTTTCAATTTTGGGGATTTTTGGGGAATTTTTTGACCGAAAAACCAAGACATTTTTTCTTCAAGTTTTTTGAAATTTAGAAAAGCAATGTTTAGTGATTTCATTTCTTACCCTTAAAAAATTCCATTATTTCTTTTTCAATTTTGGGTAATTTTTTACCGAAAAAAACGGGGAACATTTTTTAATTTTTTTTTTCACAAAATATAAAAAAGAAATTCTTTAAGTTTAAAATTGGAAAATCAATATTTTATTGATTTTATTCTCTCTAAAAAATTCAATTTTTTCCAATTTTGGGGATTTTTGGGGAATTTTTTGGCCGAAAAAAACGGGGAAAATTTTTGTTAAAACATTTTTTTCAAAAATGAGAAAAAAAATGTTTCTTCAAGTTTTAAATTCAGAAAGCAATGTTTCAGTAATTTTTCGTTCCCCTTAAAAATTCCATTATTTTTTTTTCCAATTTTGGGGATTTTAGGGAATTTTTTGACAGAAAAAACGGGGAACACTTTTTTCAAAAATAAAAAAAAACATTTCTTCAAGTTTGAAATTGGGAAAGCAATGTTTTGGTGATTTTTCGTTCCCCTTAAAAAATTTCATTATATATTTTTTTAAAATTTTGGGATTCTTGGCAAATTTTTTGACCGAAAAATTCCATCATTTTTCCAATTTTGGAGATTTTTGGGGAATTTTTTTGTTAAAAAAAATCGGGGACCATTTTTTCAAAACATATATTTTCTTAATTTTTAAAAATAAAAAACACATTTCTTCAAGTTTGAAATTTGGAAAGCAATGCTATAGTGATTTTTTGTTCCCCCTAAAATTTTTGTTATTTTTATTTTTTTTTAAACATTAGAAAGAAACATTAGAAAACATTAGAAAGATTCACTTCAGAAACAAAATTCCAAAAGTGGGATTTAGCAGTTACAAAAATCCCCCAATTTTGCCGTTTTTTTTTTGGTTTGGTTTAAATTTACAGCTTTCTTATGAAATTGAAATTTTAATGAATTAAAAAAAATGAAAATTCCATCGTTTTTAGTGTTTACCCTACAAAAGAAAAAATTAAAAATTTCACCTTTTTTTGAAGGCATTCCAAAATATTTAAAAATCTCCAAAACAATGTTTACAGCTTTTCCCGTTTTTTTTTGTTTGAAAATAGCCACAGTTTCCCCACTTTTTACTCAAATAGTCCCTAAAATATAAAAAAAAATTCCCTTATTTTTCCCCGTTTTTAGAGTTTACCCTACAAAATCGGCCTTCATTTAGAATATGGAGAATAACATGTTCACCGTATTTATTTATATATTTTTTTCTTGAAAATTCCCAATTAAAAAAATTCTATAATTTCCCAATTTATAAAGCCATTTGACCTCCAAAAATCAGCCAAACATAACGGACAACCCATTTTAATCAATATATTTTTCTTCACAATGAAAACTATATTCGAGCTTAAGTGTATTTTATTTGAAATAAATGGTTTAACTTCCAATTTGGTTGATTTCTTGGTTCACGGACAAACCTTTGAATATCATTAAGGGAAAGAAAATCTTACACGACATACTATATATAAAATATGGCAACTCTGGAAATGAAATTTTCAGAAGAGAATTCACTGTTTCCTTTTTAGAAATTCAGAATTAAAACATTAAATTCTACATATTTCTTTTAAAGTACTTCTAAACCAGGGTTAAACAAAAGCTGGCATGCGTGTCTTCAATGGGCGACATTCTCTCCACACTCACAATCAGAAGCATTGAAAAGTAATGTAAACGGAGAGTAACAAATGTGGGAGAGCATAAAAGTCAGACTCTTTGACTGGCCCTGTTTCAAATCAAACACTTGAAGTTCCTTTGTAACAGTTACAGTTGAATTCTCTCTCCCTTTCTTCTCAACAAAAACTTGCTCCCTTCCTTCGCATCTATTCTCTTTTCTTTTAATTTTGGGAATTCCTTAAACGAAGGGAGCTACTTTTTTGACCCGTTTACAAATCTCTATGGAATAGTATTGCTCTTAAAAGTGTGGCTCTTTGCCTGGCTCTGTTTTAAAGTTCCCTTGCAACTGTTACAATTGAATTCTTTCTCCCTTACTTCTCAGCAAAAACTTGCTCTCTTCCTTCCCTTTTCTTCTAATTTTGGGAGTTCATTACACCAAGAGAGCTACTTCTTGGGCCCGTTTACAAATGTCTATGTAACATTTTGCGATCTTAAAGATCATATATTAGTCTCTTGTTTGCCTCCATTTTTCGCAACCCTCAATAAAGGCCATGATCTCCAAATACATATAAATTGTTTGCATATAATTTGTATATTTCTTTTTTTTATTTTTTTTTTTTTGTAATAATAGTTTTTATTTTTCATTTTCTTTTTAAGTGATATTTGTTTTCCATTTTTCTTCTACTTCTTCTTTGCCATTATTATTTTTGAAATAATAATTGTAAAAAAAAAATGTTGAAAAACATTTATGCAGGTGATTTGATTTTTAGTGAAGTTGTGTGGGGGGGGAGGGGGTGAGATTTTATCTAAATACAGTTTAGTTAGTTTGGTTTTCTTTCATGTTTTGTTTTGCTTTTCCTCACATTTGTCTTTAAACATATATTTCTGCTCAATAGTTATAATTAAAGTTTTTGCTGCTTTTCATACTCTTCTTCTTCTTCTGCTTTTTTTCTTCGTCATTATATAATAGAATAATTATACATATTTACAACATAAATGCTTCGATATTTTGTTTTTGTTCTTGGTTCCATATTTGTTTGTTTGCCAATGCCATACCAATCGATAGCTAACGATAAAGCCTCGCAATTTGTTATCGCAATTGCAGTGACAGTGGCCTGGCCACTCAACGGTTATTGTGCTGCTGCTGCTTCTTCTTCTTTCTCTGTTTTGCCATGACAAAAGGGATGATAACACGTTACCCCTTTTTGTTTCTTTGTTTTCATTTCGCCTTCCTGTCAAGTGTTGCCATTTGTACGGTTTGGGAATTTACCAAAAAAAAAAATTACCATTCTCCTAATACTCTGGACTGGAATCAAGTAAACGTTTCTCGGGTGTTAAATCTCCCTTTCTTAGTATTCGATTTGCCGCACTATTGCATTCATTGTGATGATGATGGAGTTTCGAGTTGTTGGAGGCATTTGTGGCAGCATTGCCACCACCACTGACGCCGCCGCCATTGCTGAGGACCATAACATTGTTGCCGTTGTTGCCAATCGATGTTATGGGGAACATACTGGAGGTGGAACCAATTTGCTGGCAACGACAGCCACGCCTTGCAAAACGGCCATAACACTTTTCACACGCCGCCACACATGCCCTCATGGGCCAGTAGCACCACAGACAGGGCAATACCAGGGACAGGGCTCCCAGCCAACCCCATCGTTGGGTCCGCTTATAGGGTCCACACGAACAAGGATTGTCCACACAAGGCGTACCCGATCCATCGTCACAGTCCAGATCATTGTCCCGTGCACAGTGATAGAATAAGGCCTTGGCACAGCACAGACACGAGGCATAGTCGATAATGGATTCGGCACTGCACAGACAGGTCTTGTTGCACACCCACGTCTGGGGCAGGGGCCGGGGACTCTGGCACTGTTCACAACGACAGCGTTCACAACGCGGGCATGTTATGGGATTCAACGATGAGGGACCTTCACTGCCACCAATCACCATGGGTCCCGTCAGCGGACTGGCCCCATTCACGGCCGATATCATGCCATGCGATGTGGGTATGCCGGTGGCAATGTTGTGCATGTCCAGCAGTTCATCGAGGGCCGGTAGCTCCTTGGCGAATTTACAGGAATTTGCAGCATTGCTTGACAAGGCGGGTTGTTTTGTGATTGGTTGATTGAGGGGTTGCAGGCCGCCGGCGGATAGGGCAAAGCCGCCCCTTGTATCCGCTGGCGTTGGTGATAGTTTGCCCGTCACCGCTGAACCCTTGGGGGCCAGATGCTGGTGCAGATGGTGGTTGTGGTGGGGGTGCTGTGAATGTAGAATGCCGTCCGTGCCATCAATGCCCAGGGGCAGTGCTGAGGTCGCTGAGCCAGCAGCTGAGGTCGCATGCCTTTGGGTTTGCTGATGATGATGGTGGTGGACTTGATGCTGTTGTTGCTGATGCTGCTGCTGTTGGCGCAACTCGCGCTGCGGCAGCAGTAGCAGGTGATGCGTTGTGGTCTGACCATTGTCATGCTCGCCGGCCGGATGTTGGATACGCGTTGCATTCTGCAGCTGTTGGGCCGTGCGCAACGGTGTGTCCACATACTCATTGCCGAGTCGTTCGGACTCGGGTCTAGGTTGCGCCAGTGTGACGGTAGATAATGGCACCGGCTCTGTGGTATGGAAATGATTAAGGAAATTGTTGTTGCTGTGGTGCTGGTGGTGGCTGCCACTTATTGCCGTTAGCAGCGGCACTGCTGCCGAATTACCCAAGACCGGTGAGGCGGCTGTTGGTGTTGGTGGGGGTCGGCGTCTGGTAAAACTATTCGCCGCAATAATACCGTTGTTTGTCGAGGCCGTCGTCGACGAGGAGACACCACCCACCGAGGTCGTTGATGTATTGGTCGTGGTTGAATTGGAGCTAATTTGGCTACCGTTGCGACTCAAATTGCTGGGTCTTTGGGGTAAATAGGTTAAATGATGTATCTGATAATCGTCTGCTATGCCTCCGGACGCTGGCTGCTGGGTGATGACATCAATGTTGCCAATGTGATTGTTGTTGCAACTGACACGATTGTAGCGTATGGGAGGTGGGGGGCCAACCAGCAAAGCGGAAGTGCTGCTGTTGGAGGATGTTGTTGCTGCTGTTGATGGCGATGATGCTATGGGAATTGTGCTGTTGTGTGCCGCCAATGTTTGTTGGTTAATACTAAATTGTTGTTGTTGCTGCTGCTGATTCAAGTTATTATTCCGACTTAAATCCGTTTGATTTGTACATTGAGGTGTATGGTTTATAACTTCCGTTTGTCTTCCGGATGCAGATGTTGCCGCTGATGTTGTTGTCGTATGATGATTATTGATCGCTGTTGTTGTTGTTGTATTCATCATCTCTGGCTCGGGAGCTCGGGGACGATGGATTTTTGGTAATAATTTAGGGGGCCGAGGAGGCGCCAAGGGATCGCCGCCATTTCTGCGATCCATGTAGCGTTCAACTACTCTGTTTAAAAGACCTCAATCCCCTCGAAACTTATGCCGGGGACCATCAGTTTCCCTCATCCTCCTTTTACGCACACAGGCAGAGGTGGCGTAGTTTTGCGGGATGGTTTTTTCCTGCCTTACACTTCTTCAAATTAAATAACAAAAGGCGATTTGTTGTAAGGGTTTCGTAGGCTTTTAGGCTTAAGCGGGTCTCGAATGTGGTTGAAAATTCTTAAACTTCCCAGGCGATTGCTTTCTGCAAAGAAAAGGTGGAAAAATAATTGATTATTAAAAATTTTTTTAAACAAAAAAAAAAATTAAAAAAAATATTTAAAACCAAAAATTTAAAAAAAAAAATTAAAGAAAAAAAAAATAATAGTTTATTAATAAAAAGAGGAGAAGTAAACATCTTAAAATATTTTATTTTTGATAATAAATTCCTCAACAAACCAAAGACGATCAGCAGCAAATATCTTAAAATTTATGAGTTCACAAAAAAGTGGCGCCCAATAGTTTTGTTTATTTTTTTCTACCTCACAATTTTGTTGTCTAGGTTTTATGTCTTGATCTTTATTATCCCCCCTGGGGGCGCTATACGAGGAATTCAATAATTAATAATTATTAATATAATCCACCTTAAATGTGTGTTTTTCCCTCCATCTCCCTCTTTCTGAAATGGTAAGCAAATTAATTCACTTCGGGACTTTCTTTGGATCTAGCATTTGCATATTATGTTGTCTACTAATTTGAATTTTTATTTTCTATTAATTCTATACCAAGAAGAAGATCAAACGGCAATAGCAAATAAATAATACCACGCACACACGCACACACAACAATGTCAAATTGGGATTTTCAGAATGAGACGACGACGTCATTGATTTTTGTGCGATTCAAGTCCGTTTTTTTTTTTTTTTTGAAAATACTCTAAAGTGTCAGTCACTTTGGATGAGACGATCGCTCGGTCCATCGAGATCCAACAAATCTAGTAGTAGTGGCTCGTTTTTGTTTTCTTTTATTAATGAATCGACGAAAAAACGCTTTGGCGATCACTTATTTGAATTGTTGGCTGCTTGTTTTCATTGAAATCTTGAATGGGCGAGATGTTTAGAATGAACACCAAGGCTAGCAGCGTTAGCCAGCCCACAGAGACTGTGAAATATTCTCTATTTTTTTTGTTTTTGGTTTTTTAAATAACATAAACAAGCAGCCAAAGTAAACCATTCAAAACCATTTGAAATGATTTAAACTTGTTGTTTACCATAATTCGAAGAATAATCTTAGGAATGCTATTATAAATTTTAATAATGAATTATACTTTTTTTCCTATATATTTTTAGGGGAATTACTTGAGGACCTTAGGGTGAGGAAGTGCTTGGATCAATTTGAAATCATGTTGGAAATTGTGCAGCTCGGAAACAAAGAAATTTAACATATTTGCATTTAAAGTTATACAAAAGTATCAAAATGAATCTAGGGAATTTCAACTGTCAATAACGTATACGACAAATGAAATCCACTGGAATTGAGAGTCTATTCCATTTGACATAAAAAAAGTGGAACTGACAGCTAGAATAAACGCGATTTAATAAGAGTAAATGAACACGATTTGGTATGTGTAAACCTACTTTAAGAAAGGCAGAGGGATCTGTAAATAATAATCTTCTAAATATAATTAAAAGAGTTGAAAGATCTCTTCAATTAAAAATTATTTATTCCCAATTGGACAACAATATTTTAACATGTTTCCATTTAAAGTTATATTCCTTTAAAATAATCATTGCATCTGTAACAGCTGATTAGCTCAACAGCTGATATAAGGTAGAGATCGCTAGATACATTTATCTATCAATTTCGATATAATTTGTTTTTTTTTTTTTTTTTGAATTCGATCCTAAAATGTGGAGCCATTTTATATGAATAATCTTCATTTAAATTAATTTAAATAAAATTTACTTCTTAAATCTCTACGGGATTAAAAACTATTTATTTCCAACAACAAAGATTAAACATATTTGCATTTAAAGTTATTATCCATAAAAATAAGCATGCATTTGTAACTATTAACAGCTGTTCAGCCCAATAGTTGACAGGGAATAGGGATCTCTAGATGCATATATCGATTATTCGATAGTTAATATACGATCTGTTCCAGAAGAGCAAGAATCTAAAAGTTTTTACAACGGTAACTGGTTTTTCTTTATAATATCTAAAAAAAAAAAAAATGGAAAAATAGTAGGTTCTGAAGCAGAACAATAATTTTGCCTATATTTTCAGATAAATTATTCGTAGGCCATAGGATTGGAAGTACTTGGATAAATTTAAAATTGCGTCGAAAATTTGAAGCCTAGAAGCTTACAAAATTTGACATACTTGCATTTAAAGTTATTCAAAAATAGACTAAGAAAGGCGGAGATATCTATGAGCACTCTTCGAAAAAAAGACAATTAAAAAATTGGCAGTTTTCGTGGATTAAATTGAATAAATTTCCGATTCTTTCAAAAACAGAGATTTACGTATTTGCATTTAAAGTTATTGTCCTTACAAAAATTGATCAACAGCTAACATGGAGTAGGGATATGTAGGTACATATATCGATTATTGGATAGTTAACACAGATAAGCACCACAATTATATGCCTTGTTCTAGAAGTGCAAAAATCTGAAATTTTTTATGACTCCCTATTTTATTTTTTTTGCATAACTAGTAACGCAGAGGTCTTAGGATTGGAAGTACTTGGATAAATTTGGAGTAGCGTCGAAATTGTGGGACCCAGAAACAAACAGAATTTGGCATATTTGCATTTAAAGTTATACAAAAGAGTTTAAGAAGGGAGGGAAATCGATGGGCTCTGTTCGTTTGATTTATGTTTGAAAAATAAAAACTTTTCTCTTTGTTTGAGCTCGCAGGTGGTTACAATGTAGATCGCCGAATGAGTGATTTCTTTCAATTTATTTTGCTAAGCTTCTATTTTTTTTAAAAGTGAAATTGTCGTCTAGAAAACAGTTAGTTAATAACGTAATTAGTGAAGTTGTTGAAAATAGTAAAAACTAAAATGCAATTTAATGTGGTATTTTTGGCAAGAGTTAAATCTTTGTGGGTAAATCAAAAAAATTGTGAAAGAGATTTGCTTCACAGATGGTTGAAGGCAAACGAGGATTGCAAATTTACTTGCTCCTTATTTATGCAATTATCTTTTCAGGCGGTAACAATGTAGCATGTTAGAATGTAGATCGCTGAAGGAGTGATTTCTTTCAATTTGTTTTCCTAGGCTTTTATTTTTTTTTTTTCAAAAATGAAATTGTCGGCTAGAACACAGTTCGTTTATAAGGTAATATTTAAGTTGTTGATAGGATAGGATTAAAGTTTTCTTGCTCTTTATGTTAGAATGTAGATCGCTGAATGAGTGATTTTTTTTAATGTATTTTCCTTAGATTATTATCTTGGAAAGCGAAATTTTCACGTCGACGTGTATTCGATGTCAAATTTGAAGTTCATTTGCCTATTTATTCCGATAGCAACTACTTTGTAGAATATTTTGTTAGGCTATGATGGAATGGAACTTTCAGCTTAATTTGAAATAAAATAATCCTCGTATTGTTATCAGTAATATTGCCGAAGACACCATGTATCCAAAATGTGCAGACTCCAATCCGAAAATTTCAAAAAATATGGAAGAGGAGTGAACTTACTCCTCTCTATTTATGTTATTTTGCGATGTAAACTTTAAAAAAACGGCGATACACGTGTCTTCTATTTTTAGCTCTACTTTCATAATTTAATGGATTTTTCCTGTAATTACTTTTTGTGTTACAAGGTTCTTGAATTAACCTTAAACTCCGTTTTTAATGCAATTGTTTTGTTTTTGCCACCTGTCACATCACTACCATTATAACTTCACAAGTATTTTAGAAAAAAAGAGTTGAAATTGACTTCAAGAAGACTTTCTTTTTCGTAGATACTTTATTTATCCTAGATAATAGAATCTCCGAATATGCTCTCATAGCATTAGACTATTTTAACATTTAAATTTTTTCAATGTAAACGCAACCTTACACTCCGTTTTTAACCGAATTGTATTATTTTTCTTGCCAATTGTCACATCACTACACGTTTCCTTTTTATTTTTCTTTCCGAGAAAAAAACTAAAAATCTTTAGCAATTGCAACCAAGGCATGGGTTCAAATTTTTTAAATTGACCCAATGTAAACTTAACATCGCTAAATTACGTGTTTTACAAAGATTCGTAATTAATTTGATATATAATCAAAGGAATTGACATTCAATATAACGCTTTTTTTTAAAAAAATTGTACGGAGGCTTTAGCCTTATGCCATGTTTACGTTAGAACTTTTTGTAGGGTTAACCTACTTTGAGAGGATTTATTTGAAGTAAAAGTAATGGATATGACAATTTAAATCCAAACCCAGTGGGTTAACCCTCATATATATAAACGTACTGTTAGACTCCTTTATTTGCCACTTGTCACATAATCTATGCGTTAAATTAAAAGATTCCTTTGGGCACTAATCACACACATTCATTTTCCCATTATTAAATTGGGTACTAAGAAAAGTAATTGTCAAACATTTGCAAGTTTTTCGTTTCTTGTAAGAATTGTTAACTTTGAAATGAGAATTATATCTAAATTATGTGTTTTACGAAGATTCGACATTCATCTGACGCATAATTATTTTAAATAACGCCTTTTTGTGAAAACATATTTAGTTTAAAAAAGCCTTTAGCCTTACACTCCTTTTTAATCCAATTGTATGGTTTTTTTTGCCACTTGTCACATGTAATTTGCGTTAAATTCAAAGACTCCTTTTTGTCAATAATCTCATACACACTCTCTCTCTCCCATTGTAAAGGTGAGGTACTTACAAAAGAAGTAACCGGCAAATATATGTAAGTAATCGGGCTTTTTCGTTTCTTTGTAAGAATTGTGGCAATTTTTAACTTTTAAAAATTAAATTCGTTTTCTTAAAAATTAAACAACCGTGTTGTATGGAAAAAGAAAACTAAACCGGAGAAAAGGCAACGAAATAGAAATAAATGAACGGTGAACGAGCGGACGCGTAGCAGCTGATTGCGATGCGTTGTTGCGTTGGATGTTGTCTCCACTGCAGGTGTTTAGGTGTTTACTAAGTCGTTGTACGACTTGAACGAAACAAAAAAAAAAAAAAAAACGAGGCTCATTGTCTATTACCCCAGCAGAGAGCATGATGGCATGGCATGGCATGGAGTGAATAGAGA